GAGCGACAGCTACCAGCGGCAGCTGCTTTAGCGCTCGTCGTAGCAAGGCCCGCCTATTTCTACAGCGATGGGTTACCCATAGCCGGCTATCCTTTCCGCTAGTTTGTCCCTGGCGGCTGATGACAGCGTCAACAGCGGCCAGCGACAGTGTTCTCGGTCGGAGTAAGTAGCAGGTAGGAAAATAAGGAAACGCAGTGGTCAGTTGCAGTAGTGAATTCGCAGCAGTTGTGCATTGAGCAGATTGAACGGTTGAATTTAGCTTGAGCTCTACACATTTCCGTTAACACTGGCTGCCTGTCCGGTCAACAGCCCGGTAGCGGGGCAGGGCAGGGCAGGGCCACCCCCGGCGTGCGCTGCGAGCCGACACAGCGAGAGAAAGTGAGCTACAAGGAGAGATTCGGGACAAGATCGAGCAATCGAGGGCGAGCCGGTACAGAAAGCGAGACGCTGCGGAAAGAGGGGGAGAGAGTGGCGAACTCGAGCCAACAACTCGCAGCAGCTGCTGCTGCTGCTGCTGCTGCTGCTGCCCCGTTCTGTGCTGGTGTTCTGTACGAGGCACAGGAGACGGCCGTGCGCCGCTGTCAGGGCCCTTGGCTCCTCCTCCTCCCGCTTCCCGTCTGCGGACCCGCGCGCGCCTGGACCGCCCGCCCGCCCTTCGCTGCTCGCCGTTCACCGTTTGCTTCGCGCCGTTGCTCGTTCAACGGCTTTACACTCACCGAGCGCGTTGCTCCTGCTGCTGCCGCCGCGGCCGCCGTCACCGCCGCCGCTGCACTGGCCACGGACCTGCTGACGGGCCGATGGATGAACGGATGCCAAACACCCGCTATCAGATGACTCGAGTAGCAGCTATCTGACAGTAACGATAGCTGTGCTTACTGCCGTCGCCGCCGCCGCCGCCCGTAGAACTTGGCGCTGAGCTCATCGGCAGCTGTAGCGGCCAGGAACGCCGATGGCGGAGGCTGTCTGGCTAACAGTCCGTCTGCCAGATGAGACTGCTATCGTTACGGCTTCAGAGTTCAGCACTGGCGCGCCATTGCCGAGTGGTATCATATAGCAATAACAATAGCATTACTGAACGTGTCGTCAGTAGTGGTGTCGGCGGCACGCAGCGATAGTGATGGCATCATGTTCCGGCGATGACTCTAATTATTCATTGGGGTTGGGTTGATTTAATCAGAGAACCTCAGCATGTCAAGGAATGATACGGTGTCTTCTACTCGATTTATTACTATATAAGTGAATTGGCTATCGTTTGCGATCCTCTCGTAGATCTGTCACGTTCTGTGGCATTGTGCATATGCAAACAGGCTGGCTACGGCACGCATATTCGTCGACGCTTCTCTTAACGTTACGTTAGCGAAAAGGGAACGTTAACATGACAACAGTTATAGTATCAGTACATACAAAATGCTAAATATCTGGAAAAGAAAGAAGTCTATCTGCCGTCACGTCGAAGGGCTTTTTTAATCATAGTTACAGCTTTCTACACAAACCGTTTTGTCATCCCGACCACGACGTATAACAGCGACGATGACGACAGTTGATGCCATCAGCATCGTGACCATTTGCGATTGTCCATCTCGGCACGGGCCAGGGCAAGAAACGGAACTGTAAAGGTACTATTGTTTAGCCGCCACCCTTCGTCGGTTTTCGATAGCAGCGTTTGTTTCTTACGTTATGAATAAAATCACCATCAACGTTTCTACCGACGTCGCCATCTATACTCGGTGGCAGCAGCTGCGAAGGCGACGGAACAGTAATTACATCAATAACCCCACCAGCCGGTATCGTTTCGAATGGACAGACAAACGTTTGGAGCGTCACCTTACTCGCCCCATCAATGGCTCTGACCTCACTGGCATTAGCACCACGCCTGTAAAAACTAGTCGCTCATGATGAAGCGCCGGCAGATCGCCGCTGCTGTTGGCGGCTCCAGCTACTGCTGCTGTTCGCTTGGCTGAGATAATCGTAGTCGTTTGTGATCGGCGATGTCCTCCTTCCTCTAATGGTCCTCATAGGCTATCAGTGGCTACTGTCTTGGCCGCCGCCGCCGCCGCCGTTCCGATGGTTACAACGACAACAAGTCAATACTCCGCAATTGCAACGGCTGACGTACCGGCAGCGACCAGCGAACGTTAGCTGCGACAAACCCTGTGAGGGCTTTTGCGATGCGTTGTTTTAAGCCACCAGTCGCGCTGGCGCTAACAGCAGAAGCAGCAGCAGTAACCGTTGTTGTGGCAGGAGGCTGTTGGAAGGAAGAGACAGGCGCCCGCTAAGAGATCACCGCGCAAGAGACTGCCGGCAGCTGCCGCTCCGATGGCGATGCCCGCTGTTCTAGTTATTGAGAGCCATCGTCACTTCGTAGAGGATGCGGCGATAAGGTTACAAACAACGGCACGCTCGACCGCAACGTTAACAGGTCGTATTCGACATATGGAGAGCAGATTCGGGATCGGCTGAGTGGGATGTTCCAATAAAATAAAAGTAGGGGATTCGGCCGTAAAGTGAGACTTTTAACTGTTTGAGCGTGTGACCTTTCATTGTTCCCAATAATGCCCGCACTTTCGTTTTTGTGAGCTATCCTGATCTCGAGAGAACGAGAGGCAAATAAAACAAAAAAAACTCAGAAATGCCCTAGTAAATAAAATCATCAATACACAAAGCTTCTTTGACACAATACTAATGCTAATCAACTTAAAAAAATTACCCATCTTCTTCACCACCTATCTGAGACGGTGCTTTTCCTTTAGCTAGTCTTGTTAATCCTCGTTCTCTTTACACGCTTCTTTCTTCAATAAAGTTGACAAGTTATAGACACTTGTTTGTCGTCTGCTTCGACAGCTGCCTGAAATCGCGTCGCCCCCTTTAAAACAGCTTAGTCCCGCCGCGCGGAGAGGGCGCGCGGGGTTTCGGCGCCTGCGCCTCTCAGGCTCCGCCCAGCTGGTCGTCGTTCGCGCGGTTATGTCGTGGCCTGTGCGGGGCCAGCAGAGGCGCACGCGAGGCCGAGGCAGACGATAAGCGGCTCGAGCATGTGGTTGGTCCCGTGAACGCGCTGTGGCCCAATAGACCAGCCAAAGCCGACGACGGATGGACAGACGAACGGGCGAATAACCCGACGATCAAGCGAGCGACCAGCCAAAACAGCTGGCAGTTATAATACAAACAACGTGACTTTCAGCGGCAGTAATGCCAGTGATGTCAGCTAGTGTGCGTGCCTCGGTAGTTGTACCTTTCGTTGTGCCTCCAGCAGTAGCAATAGGATCATTTAAACATGGAGCACCTGCAATTAAACTACCTATTAAAATTCTAGTGCCAATACGTGTCATATTCGAAGCTTGTCTCGTGACAACAACAATGTCAACGACCGGCTTCAATTAGTGCGTGTCTGCGTGTGGGCGCGTAGCAGAAAAATGTGACCGTGTTGATGGCAAGAGCAATAACAGCAACGACAATTATTATTATAAAGAGAAAAGAAAATTATGTGATTTCGTGACATAGAATGGCAGAATATGAGGCAGAGTGCTCACACTATTCATTGTGTACAAATGTGAAATGTGCGTGTGGTCATACGCCGGTTGTAGTAGTAGATGGTCAAGATGACCTACTGTAGTTTGATTATCAATTGAGAAGAACGACCGACAGAAGCTGGGGTCTAAAGGACCAGATCTATTGGGAAGTACCTGTGTATGTGTATGAGTGTTGAGAAGGACAAGCAAGTGAGATACGATTGAAGAAACAGCTTATTGCCGTAATGAGTAGAGAATGAACCCGTGACTCTTCGCAACGTTTGCTTGATCCATGTTATGCCATTGACAAAATAAAGAGTCGCAACGGAAACGTGTCTAATAAGTATTCGACCTATTGGACGGAACGCCATTGTGCAACGAACGCCCACTCAAAACTCGAATTCAATATCAAATGATATAGCGCACTAACATACAAGTTAAGGTGAAGAAGACACTGAAGAACATCCCGAGAAGATGTAAAAAAGACGAGCTTGCTTTATAAAGTCTTTCCCTGTTTTCGAGTTCGGCAGCCAATTAATTATCGAAATAAAACAAGCTATCATTCGTATGATTGTCAACGAACGGACAATTCGTCCAGACAGCAACATCACTGTCCTGAAGTAAGAAGGCGGATCTACCACTCGAACTACGTAATTGCCATCATCAAACAGAAAGAAAACGTGGCGCGATAATTCTTCAGAACAGCTTTCATGACATACGTTTGCTGGCGACGAAGGCTGACTTAAAAATATCAGTCTTTATCTGTACAATCCCCAACATCCGCGGACTAGCCGTCATCAGCACTATCGATGGCAGCACGGCCGACAACCGCAGCTAAAACAGTGAGAGTATACGCCACGAAAAACGGTCACGCTGATACCAGTTAGTGTAGTATATGCACTAGATCAGCGTCGCAATGGAGTTACTACTATCCCAGGCCAATCATTGTCAATATCCAGTAATCGACAAGCCTACCAGCAACCGCCTGAAGATCAACGCCGTCAAGGTGAATTAAGTTGGGCACAAACAGTAACGTCAACGCTCTCAGTCAACAGTCGAGTGTGAAAGATATAATCGTAGTGTGTGTGTACTCCGTACGCGAGGACTTGTAAGGGTTCGGAAACGTATTTCTCGTGTCATAACTTCGGGCACGAAAAATATTTTGTTTGACTTGAAAAGTAAATATATCCATCTTAAATTAAAGTGTCAAAGTGCGTGTTTGATCTAGTATCATCGTCGTTTATTATCAGCACCTCTTCGCAGTGTTCGAGCATTGTGCATACGGCGATCGTCGATGTTTGCTAATCAGTATCTGGCCATTACAAACATCATCAACCAGGAAAAAGTCGGCATCTTACAGCTACGTGGCTGCTTGCGAAACGTACAACAGTATCTACTCACACGAAAAAAGCTAGAGAGGGAGCTACCCAAAAAACCAGTTTATTGCCACAACCCTTCGTTGCCTTCCCTACTACCAATAACAGATAAGAAACATCAAGACAACATTTGCTTCCCCCTGTTACAGTCCTCATTACATTCTACTTCACGTTGACCTCGCTCTTTTCTACCCGCAGCAGGTGGCTATTTGGCCTTAGTCGGACGCTTCTTCCCGCCAGGATAGATTCGACGGCTCTCGTGGAGGTGGGGCTGACCGGCCCTGAGCTGGCCGCGTCCCCCGCCGCTCCTGCGCCTTCGGAACCCCCGACGCATTCTCCACCAGCCCTGTTGCTTCAACAGGGAGCAGCCCTATGGCAGCCGCACCTTGGTGGGCGTCTTGACATACGAGGCAACGGATGCGCGCCACTAGACGATCACCATCATATCGGCGACTCTACCCAGTCCCCTTCTCCGGTACCATTGCCTCATCATCATCGTCGTGTCCAACATCACCGCGAGGAGCCACCTGACCATCACGACCCGGCAGAGCATAGCGACACCAACGACAACTGCGAAGAGGTCGACCCTGACGTGGGCGCCGAAGGCGATCGAAACCCGGGCGGTCGCTGCCAGTCGGTTGAGCCAATCGACGCTGAAGGCAACGCAGACGTTGGCGGTGACGGTGACGACGAGGCTGGAGACGACGAGAACGATCTCGTTCGGTCAACAAACGTTGAACCTAATTTTGCCACGACGGATACACGAGTGCCAGGTGTGGGGACTGGGGCAGGCGACGAAGACTCGATCTCTGCGCTACAACAAATGACCTCGTGGCACGAGCACCGATACGCGTCGCCGCCGAAATCGCCGACGCCGCACTTCATCGTCGATATTCTCGGCATCCAAAAGAGAGCGGTGAGCACAGCGCATTCAGCTAATCGGCCTTTGAATCTCGTTGCAATCGATGGCGACTGTTCAAATTCGCCGCCGTGCTCACCCCCGCTGCGGCAGCACGCAGGTAACCTGCAGCAGCGCCATCAGCAGGTGGCAGTCGAAGCTCTTGCTGGAGCCGGCCAACCTGGTAATCATCCGTCGCACCTTTTGGGCGCTTTCTTCCAAAATGGAGGCAGTACAAAGAATACGGGAGCTCCCTCACCGCTACCTGCACACGTCGCTCCTCGAGGACTCACCTTCGACGACGAGAAAGGTACGAAATTAATTCTTTTGGAACATACCACAAAGTAGCACTAAAATGTTAGATAGGTGCTTGTACTGTCGACGTGCGTTAGAGAGAATTCAAAGCAGCTTTTCATGAGGTACTGCTAAAATCGTACGGGCGAAAATTACGCAATGTTGTCATTTGAATGAACTCAGACGACGTACGCTGGACTTGATCTATCAGCAAGTCCTTCTGATAATTCAGTGGGTAATCAATTTGCCCTTTAGTGTTTTCGACACGTTGTGGTCTAGGTTCAAATCCATCGATAGGCACATTTCATTTTGTACAGGGAGCCAGGCAGTCGTCTGTTTGATGTAAAACGCGACACATAAAAAGTAACGAGACATGTGATATTCATGCCGAAACTAAGAAATTGGTATTACAACCAACGTACTCCACTAATTCGGGATATGCAAGACAATTTACAAACGTTCTACGCTTTACTAAATAATGAATTGCTATTTGAAGGCACCGGTAAGGGCTTTTTGGTATATATAGAAGTCTTTCATTTAATTAAATCCCGTACTTTTTTCTTGTACATATATTCTTTTTTGTTTTTTTTTTCACAGAAATTAGATAAATGTGTACATATGCGCTTTGGTGCACTTGACCAGTGACTCCTCTAGGAGTTTGCATGTTCGATCGCCCCATAATCCCGCAGTTATCCATAATTTGCCTCCTTGACCCCGGACCAAAATTGGTAACAACGGCAGAATTCAACAACTGCTGAGGTGTATATGTGACAGCTAAAAAAAACTACTTTTAAAAATATCTCGTTCTGTCCCGACGCTACGATAGCGACGTGTTTGCCGTCTGTCGTTATTAGGCCTGTATTTGAAGCAGAGGCCCAATCTTCCTCGGTTGATTGTTCAATTAACACGTACCTTCTTGTAGCCTTCGGCGCATCTATCTACTACCACCTCTTCTGACAGCAGTAGGCTATTGTTACATCCTTTATTGATGAAATAAATGAGCAAATAAACAAATAGCATATAATCCTAAATGAAATAAGATTAATGGCATCAAGAAAGTCAGAGAGGGAGAACGAAGACGGTGAGAGAGCAGAGACGATCAAGCAAAACAGAGGCCCTCTTGTTACCTGGCAGCAGTACCCGTACGCTATCACAACTGTGATTGCGACTTCAAGCTAACGACACAATTATTACCGTTGGTTTTTGACCGACTATAGCAGCAAAAAGCAGCGGAGGTATCAGGCTTGAAGCAGAACAAATGAGACAGAAACGGACGCTTTTCTTTTCCCCATAACTCACTCACGCAGAATAAATGTCCACGGCGATAGATAATTTGAATCAAATCACACACATGGCGATCCCTTAAAAAAGCATCCACATATTATAATACATAGGCCCTAACCGACAGATATCGAAGGAAGCACACGACCACAGACAATCGAAGTGAGTACCTAGGAAGTAAGTCAGCCAAAAACCACAACAGAAATAAGAACAGCAACAAAAGAAAGTCGCGGACGACTTGACGATCGAGTCAGGTGGATCGCGAGAGAAGCCTTAAAGACCTTTGCGGGTAGCTTTTGTGGGGCAAAGGGTGTGGGATGGAAAGGGCACCAGTTCGGTCTAACCATCTTATAAATATTCCCCACTATTGCGGTCATCTACGAAGTTTGAAGGAAGAAACAACTGCACACCTCATCTCAGTTCTTCTTGAGCAGTCGCACTGCTTATTTCTTGAGTGGGGAAAGTGGCGCTTGCCGGTCTTCTGGCCAAGGCGAACAAAATGCCTGTTATTATTATTATATCGTATGAAAGTTGAAGCGAGAAGTTAGGTAGGACAAAACTTGACTGTGTCGTAACACTAGCCATCGAAATACACGTGGATACTGAAGATGAATTAGGGCGAAAGGAAGATAACAAAAAAAAACGTTATAATACGAAGAAATAGGGATTCGTCATTCAGTATCTATATAGCGTCTGGACAAATTGAAGATAGGTAAATAAGTGCGGAACAAATAGGCGAGAAAACCATAACGGATCGTGTGAAATCTTCGATAAATCAAGGGCGTAGATAAAACGAGAGTTTTGGCAGTGACAAAAATTAACAAAAAAAAACATGAATGCCTCTAGTGTAATTCACCTTTTCCAACGTTAATTTTCGTCGTCGTCCTGTTTGCCCCAACATCATTTGCCCCAACATAATGGCGTTGGGGTAAACAATACTCAAATTTCATAGCTCGTCGATGTATTAGTTTTTGCTATTTATATATTATTATATGTATAGTATTATAGAGTAATATTTAGCAGTAGTGTTGTATAAAGTTATATTTGTATAGTTCTGGCGTTTTAAATGGGTTTGTTCTATTTTGGTCGTGTTGTCTCCTGATGCGAGTAAAATTGCTTGCTAGCAAACTTAGCACTTGATTTACGTTCTGTTACTCGATTTGATTTTGAACTTACTCGATCGAAGTTACTCCGATGCGACTAACTTCTTAAGCCTTTCTATGGTTGCTCGTTGATTAGACAGGATCAATGTTAGTTGTTACGATAGCGTTGAGTTTAAGCAACGCAGCCCGTCAAACATTGATGGCAGCTGAAGCAATTCCATTTGCTATTTTTTTTTTTACTCATGCAGATCCTATGTCGCTATTGGTTGCAGTGGCGATGATTTCAGTAGCAGCAAATTCCGCAATTAGACAAATTGACCTCCGACCCAGCTGAAACAGTGCGAAACTCAAATCGAAGAGCTGCGATTTTTGTTTTGTTCCTTACTTCGTTTCTTCCCTTGTTCACCTCATTACTTCACCGCGCGCGCTCGCGCGCGTTTGCGATGGACCGATGCGACCGCGAAGCATTTGACCGCATCTGGCTACAGACCGCATCATCTAGGCGTAAAAACGTGTGCATGTATTAAATATCGGCCTCTCGCTATTGTCGGTAGCTGCTAGCAGATTTGCTGCGTGGTCATCCTCCGACAGCGTCGATCGCCGAAACGAATTTACTTTACTGCGGAATGGTACGAACGCTTTAGTTACCTAATTTCTGTTGACCCGGTTGCCCGTCAGCTGTCAGTAGCCCGGCTCACGAAACGCCAGAGGCGGTCATAGCAGTTTCGGTATGGATCAATAATCACCGTCATCGTCGTTTCTCTTGTCCGTAGTGTGGCTATTGGGAGTTATCTTTTCTCGTTATGACCCACGAATAATTTGTAGTCGCCGTGGCTCTGCTGTTTACGGTGCCGATGCGATATAACACTCTGCACGTACGTACTTCATTGCGATGTTGCACGCCGTAATCAATTCCACAATAGCCGAAAACAATAAATGCAGTAATGAATGCATAGTCGTAACTGGATAAAGCACTACTGTTATAGGTGACGTATCGTACGTTTCTGTTACTTGTCCTACCTGAACCATTTTTGTTTGGAACTTTTTAGGCTCAAAATAAATCGATTTATGCGCCATCGATGGTCCTTGTATCGAGATGAGATCTCCTGGTTGGTTTGATGAACGAACGCGCGGAGATACTTTGCTGCCCGAAAAAGAATGTATATGAAAGAATACATTATCATTATTAAAGTTCATCTAAAAGGCACCTGCTAAAAAATAGTGCAATAGGATATTTGGCGCGCCGTTGATTTACTGCAGGATTAGCAATCTTTACGTTCACGTTAAGTCGCTGCAGACGGCGCTGCGTTTCAGACGATTCAGTCTAATCTTCACATATATAGACAGCCTTCTCGTACGTAACGCTACAGAAAAAAATCCTTTTTTGTTTCCAAGTACATTTTCACAGCTCAGATGGACCATGGTGCGACAAAGGCCAACATGATGAAGAAATAACGGTACTTGCCCCCGTTCTACAATTGAAAAGAGTGTATTGGCAATGAGCTCTGAGTATGTAGTTGTTTCCAGACACGATTCTACACACACGTCTGAGGAGTTCCTAAGCTTGCAAAGATGTACCTTAGATTAAAAGAACAAAGATCGCCGCTGCCATCCAACGCCTAAAACTCGTTTATAATTGGTTTGGCTAAAGTTCACTTAGCCCACATCATCGGGAAAATCGCTGGCACTGAAGTCAGATACAATTCTCTCGCTCTATTACCGCATTAACATTGCTATACGACGGAGTTCGATATAATAGAGCTTCTTTTGCCTATTTCATTATAACGAAATATAGACAAAAAGCCAAAGAAGCAACCGTAGCAAACAAAACTAAACGAATATCTGATCAAATAGTTACTGAAACACCTTCGAAACACCTTCGGTGGGTTTGTTTCGACGAAAATATATGCATAATGTTCTCAGCCGACACGCCACCGAGACACTTGCTTGGCGAAAATGTAGATTTTTTACGCTATTTTTTAAAAACGACCTGGTTATCTACAAAACAGACGTACTATAAATACATCGCGGTCACGTTATATAACAATTGTCATTGCGGTAATGTTCATTTTACATTGTGGAAGAAGCGACGATTCATTGCATGCGTGCGCGTGTTCAGTATGTTTCGCCAGACGCCAATACGAGCGCGTCGCTGCGCCCACAGTGACCTCCTCCATCGTTTGAAAATTGTCTCACGGTACTTGACAGAAATGGCAGCAGAAACAGCGAATCTGCTTCTTCGACAAGTCAAATGAACGCCAATCTTATCGCTAATTTACTTAACGCTGATTCTGACGTTGGCGCTGACGCTAAAGCTAGTACGAACACACGAGTGAGTGAGGAAAACGACTTATCTGAAAATTGTTCTTTACTGGCAATGTCACGAAGTGTTGCACGCCCTAAACAAGCCTGTTATCCGGCCTTCGCTACTGTTTCACCCAATACAACAGCAGCAGCAGCAGCAACAATTGCGGGCGCAACATCGGCGACCGCGGTGACCAGACCCGCGTTATGGGACAGATCGGCAAGCAACGGCCAGCTCGTTCCGCACTAGTTCGGATCTTCAAACTTAAAAAGACTTGGTGATCGAGAAGAAACAAAGGGGACTATGTGCAGATTTGGTAGTCGTGCC